GCGCGGGGGGAAGCCGGAGCGGCTCCCGTGCAGCTCGGATGCACCTCCGGCTCCAGTGCAGCTCCAGTGCAGCTCCGGCTCCAGTGCAGCTCCATTGTGGAGCTGGCAGCTCTCCCCACTGCAAGCCCAGATTCCTCACTGCCACCACTCCCGGTGTATCCCACAGCACCTGGAATGCTGGCACAGCTGCTGAGGACCAGGTCCCCGCGTTGCCCTCCCTATGGCAGCACCAGCCCGGGTCCTGCAGCCCAGTCACATCCCTGTCCCTCTATCCCAAAGGCACTGGCCTGTCCCAGGAGAGCAGAGCGGCGCTTGCACCCGTGCTGCAAAACCATCCCCGGCAGGAGCTGCAGCTCCCCAGTCCCTGCGTTCTGCTGGGCCTGGAGCAGGCTGGGCTGCTGTGCAGTGAGCACGTCTGGGGGCAAACCTTGCCCAAACCTCACCAAAACAGTGCAAACCCCACCAAAATCGTGTCGACCTTGTCAAAAAGGTGCCAACTTTGTGTTAAAGGCACCTGCAGTCCGTTGACAAGGGGAATGGCAGAGATGAGACCTGCTCCGGAGCTGCAAGATGTGGGGGTTCGCTCCCAATGACAAGGCGAGTGCTGATTCTCTGAGAAGTCTGTAATTTTTCTAAGCTCTGCATCTATTTGTGGCAACGCGACATGTGCAGCGTGGTGTTCTTTGCAAGATTGGAGTCTTGTAAAAAATTAATCGTGCACGCAAAATTTGGCTTTAAATATTAAAACCAAATGGGGAGAAGCGTGAGCCCCGTGCTAGGAGGTGCATGGCACGCAGAGGGAGCAGAGCGGGGCAGGGATGTGGGACAGGGACGTGGGGCAGGACCAGGCTGCCCCGTGGCTGGGCTGTGGGGAAGGGGAGGGCAGTGCCCACCCAGGACCCAGCTGGGGTCCCAGTGCCCCACAGTGAGGTCCCTCATCCCACATGATGGGGTTGCAGGAAGAGCCCTCCATGGCGCTGGGGGTCCTGACCGCCCTGGCATGGAAGTGGTGGGGTGCTGGATGCCCACCGTGGGGTTGGGGGTCCCGATCCCCTCTCATCAGGCTTGAGGGCTGCCCTGTCATGGGGCTGGAGCTCCCATGTGCTTCACCATGGAACTGGGGGGGATCCTTGACCCCCCAACATGGGGCCGCAGGGGGGCCCTGATGCTCTGCCATGGGGCTGGGAGGGCTGCCTTGCTGTGGGGTCCCAACGATGCGGTGAGGGTCCCAACAACAGGGCCGGGGGTCCCTGCTATGGGGAAGAGGGTCCCAGTGATGAGGCGGGGGTCCCAGCAATGGGGCAGGAGGTTCCACCTCTAGGGAGGGGGGGTCTCTGCTAAGGGGGAGGTTGCAGCTATGAGGTGGGTGTCCCCGCTATGGGCAGGTGTCCCTCCAGGGGGGCGGGTCCCAGCTAT